TCAAGCATGCATAATTTATTGGTTATTGACCCGCGGACTCGTCTAGATAAGTGGACAGACGATTAATCATGGACAGCCTAGTAGCAGCAATGCTTACCACTTTTTCCTACTTATGGCCCGTGCACGTAAAATCTGGAGATGATGGCAGAATCGACCATATGTACGAGATGTGGACGACCCTCACTACTTGCAACGCAAATAAGAGCACAAGTCTGAAATTTACAATGGGGGAACGATGTCCACAGCTCCAGGTACGAGGTGAAAAAAGACAGCTCACAACGCCTTTCAACGTATAGGCAGTAACCCTCATCTCATATGAGTGGCCGAGTGTTCAATTAGCCTGACATAAATCATTTACAATTCTGAAAAGTATGGGTGCGTAATGGCACAGCTAGCTCCAAATCAACATTTGAACAATGCTCAAACAAATTAAAACAAGCACTACATTTCAGGATATTCATCTCTACCAGAAAACCGGCTAAATTGCATTAGGAAACATATTTACATAACAATATAAAATATAGAACTCAACAAAACTTGCATTATTGTTGCTTTCTGAACATTATCTGTTACCCACTCAATCTTCTAAAAAGACTCACGAAACACCCAGAATAAGTATGATCGAGATTTGATACCAACAAATCGGATAATAGTTATGTATCGATAACGATCATCTAGGAATGCTAAATGAATGGGTGTAGCGTCAAGAATTATTTGGTCAGTCGACTATTGTAACGAATTTTGGGCATGTTTTATATAATAGTTACATCATCTAGTTTTTAGCCATGAGATCTTCATTATGTAATGTGATATGTAAGTCGATGAACGATAGAAACTATATGTATAAATGAGTGGTGATTCACATATGTACACAATATTTACACAAACATCTCACCGTAGTACTAAGTTCGAAGCAGTAAGTCATTGAGAGATGAGATGATAGAGGACCTCCCACACCATAGATTGAACCTGTGGAATCCGAGTCCTGACGCGGCACGTCTGCCCTGAGCGATTCAGAAGGCATGAATAAAGTGGCTACGGCATATCATTTAAAGATACACGAGCACGGGATCTGGTAATCATGTGATCAGCGAATGGACTGAGGAACAGCTTCTGCTATGGTGAGAAGAGTAAAAGTAGATGATAAAAAATATTAATGAGCATTGCAATGTGCGACGACAATGAGGTCAAATAATTTTACAAAAAAACATATTAATGTCTATTACATCTGCATTAAGAAGGCAATTAGGCAAGCAATGCAATATCATATACAACAATTATGGCAAAAACTGTAAAGGATGTTAAAATAAAGTGGAACATGTTTAATTTATAACTGTAATTTGCTACTAATTAAAATAATGTGAAGCATATTTACATACAATTTGTCCGTGATTATGACCTAGGATAAGGAACAGAGGGCCTAGTTTGCTTCATCATTTATGGATGATTATAGGCCCTATTTTAATTAATAATCCCTCCAAGTTATTTACAATTAAATATAATTTATACCCGAGTATTTAATAAATAACATACTATAAAAGGCCTTGATATATACTCCTTGTAAAGAATCTACAACTTAGCAACTATTGCGACAGTTGTATAACCACAATTTCAGATTAAATGAAATTCAGTCACAAACTTATAAATATAGGTAATAAAGAAGAGTCCCTTAGGAATTAAAGTTAATTGAAGGATCACCCAAATTAAAATAACAATAAAATCGAAAAAAACTGTTAGATACAAGAATATGTGTAATAATTCTCATGTACTAACTGAAGCTGTCTGCTTCAGTGGCACTAAGTCACGGGGCCTTCAATCAAGGGTGGCGATCAAGCTGGGCGAGATATGTGTGAAATGGTATGACAGGAGACTATGAGAAGCATTACACTACTGAATACAGTGGCTGATCAGAAGTCTTCTACTGCGGACACTAACTAGGACTTGCAAGTGATTTACGGTTCGATACCCGCAGGGTTAGGAGGCAAAGTGCCCAGGACATACACGCTAACTCTAAAAGAGGAGTCAGATCCAATAAAGTTACTGGTGAGGAGAGCCTTGGAGGAGTCTGCAAAAACACACGTGTCAAAAATGAATTACCGGTAAAAACAGAAAGCCGGTTAAACCAAGGTTACATGAAAGTTAAAAATAGGAAAACGTCTGCTTGGAAAAGGAATTATCCATTTGAGTTGCTTTTTGCAATGATTTAAACACTAATTGTAAAATTTTTACTAATTCGGTCGATACTATATCTACGGCCTTTTCATATACAACTTTTAATCTATCTCTATGCATTTAATTCAAAAGACAGGTCAATAATCGAAAGTCCTAATAATACAGCTTTCTTTGACGAAGTGTCCATCAATAGTATAAGTTTTCTCATATTTATTGCACAACTGTATGATATGAGATTATAGTAAAAAGAATCTTTGCTCTTCTGAGAAAAGATTAATCATCACTAAATAGCATAGACATGTGTGTTCAGGCGTCGATTAGTGTTTGATACTCAAAGTCAGTTATTTTGCGCGGTATAAAATACTAATTATTGCAAAAGTTAATGGCTTGCGTATTAAGGCACAGCATTACAAATACGTTTTCTCCTAATGACGTTAACCATGTTATAATATGGGAAATAAACACATTTAACACTCTGTTATACTCTGCACTCATTAATAAGGGTTAGTAGATATTGTGATGGATAGCAATTCAACATAGGACACTTTCTAATTTTATAATTTAGACAAATACTCATACATGAAATACTACCTAATCTGTAGCTCAGAATACTTCTCAACCCGCTAGATGCTAATCAGACAGTCGCCCATACTCCTCAACCATTCTAGCAGAGATGTATTTACTGCGAGAGCAGCGTTGGGGAGTCAAGTGTGTAATTTTCGATAGATAAAAAGGCACCTTTTTGCACTAATGAATGTTAAAGAAAATTGCCTATAATAATATCTTAAGCAAAAAGCCTCTCAAGAGTTACTAAGCTATATTCTGGGATCTAAGTGCTATTCCTTATAATATGAAGAGACTGTAGGTGGTGTAGTTATAAAGTAAAGTAAAAGCTCATGATATGTAGGAATAAAATGGTAATATATTATACTCTATTAAATCGTGCCTTTAGAATATCCAATGGAGAGCATCCCACTTAGATCGCGTATATTACCTCCTGACCTAGCTACATCGCAAGTCAGTGAGACTATGAATAGTAGCAACCAATTGTTGAAAAAAGGTTATTAAACGAGAACGCAGCGAATTATTTAGCCCTTTCTTACAGCTCGCCATCAAGCAAACAGATCTTGACAGTCATACCAGATACACGAAGGCTAAGTAAAATTATGAGGAATTGAGGCTTAACTAAACATAGAGATTGACAAGGACTAGAAAACAATAAACGGGAGGGAAGTGCATAGGGACGAACGACAAGTATTCGAGACAGCAGTTAGATACAGTCACAGTACAAGATCTGAAAATACAGAGGCCTGATTTCATCCCTTTAAAGTCGTCAATGAACAAAAGAACATTGTGAAATAAGCAATTGATCAAGACAAGACGTGAAGTGCAACTAAGCTTAAGTAAGGGTTGTGCTGACGCGTGGAATAATCTTTAGTCCAATATAGTGTGGCTTAGAAAATACCGCTCATAGGCTACTATAGAAAAGGAAATGTCAGGAACTGAACAAGCACGATGCTATTACAGTCTTGTGGCTACCCGTTTAGTCACTATTCAGTGTTAATGTGAAGGGTCAGAAACACCTGTTTTTACTCAATGGTGTTTCTTCATTGAATGGACCTACTGGTTTGTGCATCTCTCTACCAGTGAGTAAAAGATGAGGAGAGTATGATGTGGTTTGGTTAATGCTGTTTCTAATGTCCATCAAAGCAAAAGGAAGAGCAGTGACCCAGTCAAGCTTGGTGGTATGCCAGATTTTAGCCAGTTTCCTTTTGACTGTTGCATTCATCCGTTCACAGACTCCTTGGCTGGCTGGATGATAAATGGTTCCAAAGCGCTGTGAAATATTAAGGGCTTTTAACACATCACGTACCACTTTGGCTGTAAAGTGAGTTCCGTTGTCACTTCTTATCACAGACGGAATTCCGAAACGGCTAAAAACGTCGTTAGTGAGATGTTGAATCACTTCCTTGGCTGACTCCGTTTTACAGGGAAAAGCTTCAACCCATTCGCTACCTACTAAGACCAGTAGGTAGCGATAGCCACGGACACGCATATCAGGACCCATGTCTGTAAAGTCAATGACAATTCTTTCAAAGGGTTTATTTGGAAGTGTGTAGGTACCTGGAGGTGGTTTACATGTCTTCTTTGGATTCATAGTCTGGCAGACATGACACTCATCAATCCAGTATTGTAGAATGGGTTTCATATGTGGATGCCACCACAAGTCGATGTGCTTCAGAAGCGCATTGTAACTGCGATGTGTTGGAGTGTGATATTCATCAAAGAGCATTTGAAGCAGCGGAACAGGAGCCAAAACTTTTCCTTCATGATTCCTCCAGATTCCTTCAGCATCTTTAACAGCACCTCGTCTTGTCCATGCGCTATGTTCATATGCTCCAGCAGCTTCTTGGATTTCTCTGACATAGGTAGTATCGATAACATTGGAGTCAGATGAGTTGTCAGGTGTTACTTTGGCTTGAATGAGCATGTTCCTTTCGTTGTAATTGGCAGCTTCTTTAGCAGCCAGGTCTGCTGCGTGGTTTCCTAGGGACACAGAGTCTTCACCTTTGGTGTGGGCTTTGCACTTCATGATGGCTAGTTGTAATGGCAGCTGGACAGCGTTGATAAGTTGTTTGATCAATGACTCATGTTTGATTGGAGATCCAGCCATGAGTTTGAAACCATTTCTTATCCAACCTGCAATGGACAGTGTCACCGTTTTGTAAGCATAGACTGAATCAGTGTAGATGTTGACTGCACGGCCTTCAGAAAGCTGCAAAGCCTTTAGCATAGCTGTCAAGCAGCAACCTGGGCTGATCCATATGTCAATTGTTGAGCTTCCAGTACTTGATGTTGTCCGTTGGACAGCTGTTGAACCACAGCGTGCGATGATATGACATGTCCATCTTTTGCTCTGTAAGAACAGCCATCACAAAATAGAGTCATATCTGGATTATCCAGTGGCGTCGTTTGTAGATCTGCTCTCACATATATTTCAGTCTTGACTTTCTCCTCACACATATGTGGAGTTCCTTCAGTCTCCATGTTGGATGCCATGTTGATGGTACCTCCTTCATATGTAATATGTTCTTGTCTCAGAGTTTTCGAGATGTTGTTGGATCTTTGGGCTGTGGTAATGAACAGACGAGAGTTAAGATAAGCCAGTATTCCATGATGAGTGTGTACCACCAGAGGATGGTTCTGTACAATATGAGCAGTTTTCTCAATTGTCTTTGTCAAAGCTGCAAGATAGCGTGCACATCCAGGTTGTGCCTGATCATGAGGATCTAGTTTGCAGGAGTAGTGTTTCAACACTCTTCTGGTCCCTTGATGTTTCTGATAAAGAACAGCTTGAACAAAGGACTGTTTTTCTGTCACATCCAGATGAAAAGGGATGCTGTAATCAGGGGCACATAATGAGCATGCAACACATATTGCCTGTTTGGTCTTGATGAATGCTTCTTCAGCACTTGAGGTCCAAAGTAGTTCAGCTGTTGGATTGTGCATTCCATGTGGCTTGATGAGTTCCCTCAGTGGAGTTGTGAGCTCGGTGTATCCTGGAACATATTCTCGAGAATAGTTGCAGAGTCCTAGAAAGCTGAGCATTTGACGTACTGTTATTGGTTTTGGAGTCTGCAAAATAGCATCTTTGTTGTTGTCCGTTACTCCTTGTGCTCCATTCGATACTTCTCGCCCAAGGAAGTAGACAGATCTTCTGGCTACTTGTATCTTTTGTCTCTTTACCTTGTAGCCTTTGCTGGACAGACGTGCGAGAAGTATCACCGTTGCTTCCAAGACATCTTTAGATGTAGCCCCTGCTATCATGCAGTCATCCACATACTGAATCAGAATGCAGGATTCAGGAAGTTGTAGATTGGCCAGGTCTTGTCTCAGAAAATGGTTGAAGTAGCCGGGTGAGTGCTTCCATCCCTGGGGCATTCTGGAATATGTATATTGCTTGTTGTTGTGAGTGAAGGAAAAATACTGTTGAGAGTTGGGTTCAATGTTTATCGTGAAAAAAGCATTTGCCAAGTCTATCACTGTATAGAAGTTGTAGTTTGGTGACAAGTTGTTCAAGGCAATATATGGATCTGGGACTGGGAATGACTCACCAGCTGTGATGTCATTGATAGGTCGAAAGTCTTGGACCATTCTCCAGTTCTGTAGATCCGACTTCTTCACAGGGAACAATGGCGTGTTGTAGTCTGAGACTGTTTCATAAATCACTCCTGATTCCAGCAATCCATGAATTGTTTCTTGGATACCAGTGTCTTGGTCTTCTTTGAGTGGGTATTGTGAACGAAAAACAGGTCTTGCTGTAGTGAGCTGTACCTTTATAGTGTGCTTTGTCTGGCCCACGTCATTGGGGTGAGTCATCCATATGTTTTTTGGTACTTGAGACAGATGTCTGCTGTGTCTGGATGATCATCAAAGACTCGATGTTTGGACTGCTTTGAAGTTCTTGTTGTGTCTTCAGAGCCTTGGAATTATCTTGAACATTTGATTTTGTGAGTTATAAAAAACTCCATCTCTTTCAGTGCGTTCATATTGCAGAGTAGAGGCAAATCTTACCATTGGGCCAAGTTGCTTCTGCGTGTGGTGCTTTGATATGGCCAGTGTTACATGAGGTGAACTCTCTCCATCATCCATATAGTAAGGTCGTAGTTCTTCTGGTAGAATTGCTGCAATAGCCATTCCTTGAGGGCCAAGATATATACAGGAGTATTTCACCTGGAATGTTTGGCCATTCACCTGTTGCCAGAGTTCGTCATAAGTGTCGTCTTCCAGTGTGATGTATCGGAGAGTTACATGTAGAGGGTCAAGAGGCTCTCTGAGTGGATATAATGATTTGGCCCATAATTTGTAGTTTTGCCAAAATGCTGAAGCTGTGTTTCCTTTCTCTGGATCTGTGAGAATTTCTGTCCAATATATCGTTGTCTTTATCTTACAATCTTGCACAATGTCTGGAGAGAGATATAAGATCTGGACAGAATCTTTCATCTTTATATTTCTCAGCATCATCATGGTTTCTTGTTTGTTGAGAACTTTATGGCCATCTGGGCAAAATATCAATGACAGTGAAAGTTTGCACATCAGTTCTCTTCCACATATAGAGACGTCGCTTTGTGGTAAGAAAAGAAATTCATGTTTTACTGTCTGGTTATTCAATGTTACTGCCAATGGTTCAGTAAAAATCTTTGTTTCAGGTGATCCCACACAGCCGGATATGGACATAGTTTTGGATGTCAATGGAAATTTCTGACGAATACAGGACACTGTTGCTCCTGAGTCCACTAGAAACTTAATCTTCTGTCCATTTATCTTCAAGACCACCATTGGCTCGCTTTTCCATGGTTTCAGCGATTGGTCTGACTGTGAGAGGCCCTCTAGCATTCATTATACCCATCAAAACATTGGACATCTCTTCCATCATGGTAGTTGGATCCGATGTTCATTACTCTTGGGCCGTTTGGTGGGAGTCTAGGTGCAGCCGTCTGTGGGTGCATCATAGGTTGCATCATAGGTGGTTGGTTTGTTGATTGGATGAATCGTTGTTGTGGGTCAAAGCCTTGTGGTTGTCCTTGTGGCTGTGTTGCACAATCTCTGCTCCAGTGGCCTCTTCCTCCACATGTGAAACATGCACCGACTCCTTTATCCTTTATAAATCTCGGCCTTGGACACTTTATAGCCTCTTCCTCTTCCTCTGAACTTAGAGAAACTGCGAGCGATATTGCTGTTGGCGAAAATGTTTGTGGTGGTTGTTGCTGTGGTTGCATCACCGTCTTTATTGCGGTCAGCAATTGATTGGTGGTCACTGGTGCATCCCCATCAGCAGAGTCTTGTTGTACAGTCATCAGTCGAGAGGGTTTCTCCTTCTTCTTGTCCTTGACCTCTTCTTGGAGTTTATGTAGTTGCAACTTCATAGTGGCCAGCTCAAGTTCCTGCTTCTTGGAGTCTGTTTCCTTCTTGTTATTAATCCACTTGGTCACATGATGATTGCAATGTGCATCAAAGTCTTCTTCAGTCTTAGTGTACAATCCCATCACTTCACTGAGAGCGTCTTGTATGGGTTTAGGCATACCTTTCACCAAGGCTGAGTAAAACATGACTGTCATTCCGGTGCCTGTTTGAATTGGCTCACCTGTAGCATCATGATATAGAGTTTTAGCTCGTTGTTTGTAGCTGTAGTAGTCTTCATCATTTTTCATCTGCAGGGACATGAGTTCATCCGTCAGAGTGCATGGATATCTCGTCTTCAGTTCTTCCTCCAATGCTTCACGGAACATCTGAATGGCAGCAGTCTTCCGTAGTGGTATTCTGATCTTCCTTCCAACTGCAGCTTCAATTCTTTCTGCGACTGTTTCATCTGCGGCTTTGGTCAGGGCGGCATGTATATCTCCTCAGCATAGTTTATCACCAGCAGTCTGTTTCATCAGGGCCCTCATCCAGGGCACGCCACCCTTCGTCAGCTTCGGTAGGGTGAGCATCAGAGAACTCCAGTCTTTCAGAGAGAATGGTTGATAAATCATCTGTTGATTTTCATTTGTCCTCAGTGGATAGATAGATGCGGAATGACTTGTTTTTTGTTCTTCTCCATACATGGGGTCAACAGTGCCATTTATGTAAGCCTCATTGAATTCATCAGCATCAATGATTCCTGTGAAAGATCCTGTTACCTCAAAAGGCTCTTTAACTTGCATATGCCTTCTTGTTTCTCTGGCTACGTCACCCCTTTCTTCTGTGGTTGGTCCTTGACTTCTCAGACAATCGGTCCCTCCAAACTCTCTTGAAGTCTCTACAATAGAAGTCAGAGCAGTCACCTGGTTTTGAATATCCTGGAGCCTCCTCTCTGTGTTGGAGGGTGGGCCAACTGGTGTCAAGGATAGTGCTCCTCCCATCACCTTGTGGGTCATCTGCGTTGGGGTTGTTCCTTTAGAAGAGATAACTGTGCTGGGTGTAGGATGATAAGGAGGGGGGTTTTTAGTCAAACGTGAATCATCATTGAATGAGATTAAGTCTTGAGTGGATGACGGATAATACAAAGTGCCCTGCAAAAGGGGAACATCTTCAAGGTTTTGCGATTTATTTCTTTTTCTCATGTGAGTGGTCAGCTCTCTCCTTCCTTCGGGTGTGATCGACGGCCTCTCCTTTGATTTTTCTCCTTCCTCAGAGTCACTGCCACTGGCATCTCGATGGTGTTCAGTCTGAGACCGTGTGTTATACCTGTGCTTTTCCTTGTCCTTCAACACAGGGTAGACGCCCTCAGTGGAGTCTTTGTGGATTCTCTCAGGAAATGTCACTTTCTTATCTGTTGGTTTAATCACAAGAATTGAAGACAGGTCCCTCAACTCTGAGGAAAGATTCTTTGACTTTTTCATCTCCTTTGCCCATCGGCACATTTTCTTAGCCAGTGCATTTTTGTTCTCATGTTCTCGAATTTTAGCATTGTTGTTCTTCTTTCCAAGAGGAGCTAAATTAGGATGTGTTTGATAATATAAAATTTTTCCTTTGTGGTAGTCTAGAATCTTCTTCCATTGTTCTTCTGTGGGTGCAAGTGCCTCTTTGCCTCCATCAATTATTTGCTTCGAGATGTATTTTTTAAGCAATTCTTTTATGATGGACACATTAGCTTGTGCTAATTTTGGTTCGACTTCATCTTCTCGAACCTTGTTGCTCCAAAACTCCTCCACTTGTTTTAGTGTGATAAATTGGGACATTATTGGTATGTGCCTATTGTTTATGTTCTTATTTATTTCTAAATGCACTTCCAGCAATCTAATCGCATAAATGAGTTTCCTAGGGTAGTTGAGGGAGACTGTTACCCCTACCCCGTACTACTCATGCATTCAATTAGATTTCCCAGAGCACAGTGTCTTAATTATGAGTGCAAAAATTTGAATAGTGTAAAAAATGAAGACTATATTGAATTGTGTTTTGCAAAAATTTGAAGATTTACCTTAGCATGTACTGGATGTGTAATCAAATGGGCTGTTTCGTAGTGGTTCTGAAGATGGCTGTTTCAGATTCCTCCTTTACGGCCTATGCGATTGACCCGATCAGATCTCTCCTATTTTTCTCCGTCTGCGTTGAGACACTAGTTTTTGGTCCTGAACCTCCCACCGCGCTCCTAGTATTTCTCTAAAACACAAGAAAAATGTTCAACAGATCAACTTGCACATTCAAACTTTTTAATCACTAAACATTTATATGCTTTATTTATTTATCTAATTATTATACTGTACATATATCGAGTTTTAGAAAACGAAATTTGATATTTTTTTAAAAGTAATCATAAAAATAATGATATTCGAACAACCAATTAGATAACCCTTATCATCTTTCATGATTTATTTTGATTGCAGAGACACTCTTCTAAAACTATTTATTTATTTTTGTTTAGTTAAAGGTAAATATGAGTTAATTGCTTTATCCAAGACATAGATTATTAAAGATAAAATAGGTAGATTTGAAATCTGCATACACTGCCCTGTGATGAACAATAAAATAGCTGCTATAACTTTTATATGCCCTGGGAGATTTTGCAAGCATTTATTGGTTACAATAAATATTCAAATTTTTAATATAAATAAAACACTGAAAATCAAAAGTTTTATTTTTAGTTTAAGTTTAGGTGCCAATCCTAATACATATATATAATTTTCCCTCAGAGTATTTTATTGTCTAGTATACAGTATATACATGCATAGCCTTAATCATTTTAAAATCATTAAGTAAAACATTTTGTATATATTTTAATAGTTGTGATGGTTTAACATTTGTACAACATACTAGAATATTGAAATACTAACAATAATTATTTTTATAACATGAAAGTTAAAAAGGTGATATTTCTTATAATATTAAACATCTATTTTTAGCTCTATTTGCTATTTAAACTAATATATCATTGAATGCGGCCAATATATTTGGATTAGCCAACTCACTTTACTAGCCTTTATTTTATCTTTAAAACATTTATTTGCATAAAAATAACACTATACCAGAAAAATAACCAGGTAAGCTATGCCAATAATATTATTTCACTGCAAACCTACTTATTATACATTATAAGACTATTTTTATAAATGCTGACAAGTCTTTCACTTGTAATCACAATCATTTAAATAGAAATAAAACGCTTTCTGCTATATATTACCCTCCATGACAAACAAAGTAATCATTAACAAAATGCTGTCTTTTTACGTGCAACTTTTATCCCTTGTATAGTGTAATTAATTTTAGAAAGCTGGACACAGAATACAGTTGTAATTAATGTATGTTCAATAATAGAATTGCAGTGATTATTAAAACCCTATAGTTGTATTATTTTTAACAATCACACTTCTTCTATCCTAACAAAGACAACACACAGGACTTCACTTATTTGGTTAATGGTTAACTTTTATCGCTGCTGCATGCTTATCTGAAAACAGGCAGAAGACGCGCTCTAAAGGATCCACAAAGTTAAGAACTCTTTATAAAGCTTTTGCTTATTCTATCTGTTTCTCTAATGATAATCAATGCATTCTAATTGTGGCTGTTTTTAAGGTTAGAAATCATATAGCTCAAATTGTTCTTCTTCTTCATCTTCCTCTTGTGAAATGTCTTGGCCAGAGGGCACACTGGCGTGTAACAACATTATCTTTGTAATTTTATTCTGAGAAAATTGGATAACACACGGGATTAATAGATATAGCAGGATAACCAGAAATAACATGCTGCCAAAAGCCGTGAAGACAGATAGAAACATCACTGAGAAAGACCCTATACTATTCTCGGGCATTATTCTCAACTTGTCATAGTCTTTCTGTAAATCTGTTAATGTTTGAAAAACAGAGGCGTTCATGTCAATTCTACTCTGCTTTCTAATGTAACATCCTGAACGTCTGCTGTTATTGGGATTTGAAAGGGCTCATCAGTAGGGTTAATTATTATGTCTACAGGCTTAACTGTGTTTTGAACGGATTTAGGGGCTTCTAGTTTAGCGGGTGTTGGTAAGAAAAATATAGGAGGATTTTCAGATTGAAAGGGAGATATTTCTATTTTTTCTTCTGCTAATATCTTGTCATTATTGTTAATAATAGTCTCTACAAATTCAAAGATTGCATCCGAGGTTTTGGTTTTATTCTCAGTTTCAGAAATAACTCTAGATTCAACACTATAGGGCATGCCTGTTTCGCAATTGTGTGTAAGATTAGTTTGCGTTGTACCATTTGGGAATGAAATACAGATACAATACACATTTGATTGTGGAGGTTGTTCTTGCCATTCACATTCAAATAAGACGTCTTTATTGTTAGTTTTTGGATCTGAAATTAGACTTGTAGTTTTGCATATCTTTGAATGGATTCCATGGTCGTAATCATAGTTTGCTATTATTTGATTTGTTTCTTGACCATGTTCGTATTTATTGATGGGAATGCTTTTTATGAATTGACCCTGATCGCATGGTTGGAATGCTATGTTTATTTGCGTTATTAAGCCTTCGTCCACTTTACAGTGGCAAGTAATTATGTTCTCCTTTTTATTGTATGTTAAATGAATAGTTTCTTCAACCAATAATGATTCTGAACTTGAAAAATTTACAAATATTATACAAAGGAATAAGTATACAAACATTTTTTACCACTTAAACCTACTATTCTGACCACTTTTTATGTACACACATATAAATGTAATTATTGAATTTCTTACGCTAATTACTTTGACTACTTATCAAAAATAACCAGTTTTTTGAATTAACACGTTTTTTGTTTCTTCTGACGCTGAAAAAATCTCTAAAAACAGCGCATACTAACAATCGTTTTTAAATTCTCTTCTGCCGAAAAAACCTCGAAAAACGGCTTCTATCGCCCTTTTACATTTTTCTCACGCCGAAAAAGCCTAGAAAACGGCGGTGATCGGTTTATAAAAAAATGCGCATATATATTTACAATATAAACAGGAACATAAAAGAGCCACTAAAAACCACATTGAAACTTTTTGATGTAAGACCAATTTAGCAGATTTTTAGAAAAGGCATCTGCAATTTCCTTTTGTGTGAGTAGATCTACTTGTACCTTTGTGGTCGAGTTGTCTCTTTTATGGAGACTTCTACAAAGCCAGAGAAGACGAAGCGTTGTCCCGGAGCAAAAAGGTGGTTGAAAAAATAAAAATAATAAAAATTGTCTTCGTCTTGGGCTTTTTGAATCACGTCGGAGGTCACCAAATTGTGAATTGATCCCAGACGTAAGACAAAAAAGAGACTTGGACGAACTGCGTAGTTCAAATAGAGTTTTATTGTCAG